CTTCTGTTACCTACGATGCACTGGAAATGAACACAAGTGTGCCAACATACTTTTCACTTTCACTTTCATGTATGCTCAAGTTAATTATTACCTTCTAGTTCCAAATGCATCATAAAATGTGTTGCAGACATAACAAGTTTCTTAACAGAAGCAAAGAGCTCAGAGACTTGTCGACAAGGCCATGGGGATTCTTTACAATAGTGCCCAAAACAAGTGTAATTAGTGTAAAAATTTGTTTTATACAGATTTGAAATGATCTGTTACTCTGAAGGAAGAGCATGGGAGCAGATTGATAATTCAGTATTACTGTTTCTCCGGGCTTAATTCATAGTTCAAAAACCTAAAAAGAAATCCAACGTTCCTGGAGCCGACTCTACTCCCGTCTTCATATATAATGCCTATTCTGTTGTGTACCCAGGGATTGTGAGTAGCTCCTTCTATCGGACGCAACAAAATACGCACTTTCATCCGAAGATGGGAGCAGAGCCATCTCCCGGAACGTACTGGCTTCCTCTTTAGGTTTTTGAACGATGGATTAAGCTCAGAGAAATAGCAGGAACATCGTTTGAGCCCTTTAGAGTTAGACTGACGAAGTCTGAGAACGAAATGACTGGGAGATGAAGACAATTACACAGCCAAGAGCTTCATAATGTTTGCTCTTCACAAAATAATAGTCTGGTGATAAAGTCGAGATGATTTCAACGGGACATACAACACGATGAGGGGAGATGATTAATGCACGTAAGATTTTTGTATAAAAACTTTAAAGTAACAGACAACTTGGAAAAGTCTGATTTAGATAGGACATAATAAAATGGATCTCAAGTAAATACAGGGTGCAACGAACCTTCAAGTTCCGTAAAAGGCGAGGGATTTCTAGATGAGCTAAGCAATTATCAGATGTCCAAGAAGGACTGTGCTCGAAGAAGTTGTTTTATTCTTTATGAATAACGTTTCTACATTATAAATGTTAGTCATGACAAACACGTTATAATATGTAATAACAACAGTATCCGTTATCCTTGCGTTATCATCGATATCACCAGTGCAATGAAAACAAATTCGCTTCATGAATACGCATGTCCTTATGACACAATCTGTCATCCACTTTACGACGACACAAAGAAGACTAGGCCCTTATATAGCAAGCTTGCGAAGCGATCCAACTGGAAGGAACGTGGCATTTACTGGTATCTGAATCTAGATTAGTCTTGAACCAGGTTCGGTCGGCATTCTTGCTTTTCAGTAAGTTCATGCGCTAGGTTGTTACATTTAAGACAGACCTACGGTTCACGATAGTTCACGCTTCTGACTTGAACCGCTTGTTGTTCGGACGGGGCACCACCTATCACGAGTCAGGTTATTCAATTTCTTTCAATCGCTCTAGAAAAATTCCGGTGTAGCACCTTAACCCTTTAAAGTATAGAGGCAACTTCATGTATCGCCATCTTTAACACTTCATAACTCTGCGTTTTACCCACAAAGCACAGGTCTTTATTGGTTTTACATGATTCCCAGAATAAACGAGTAACTTCCTCACACATAATTCACGAAATGGTCTTTGGAACAGACACGCGCTGTGCTTTATTTGAAGAACAAACTAATTTTATAAACATCTGGACAAACTTCTTGCTTCAGAGGCTTATCTAAACCACAAACGCTTTTAGCAATAAATTCGTTCCAGCTACAGCCTTCTAACTTGACTTTATTATTTTATTTTGTCCCTTTCTGTGGTTCTTTAGTTTCTTAGTAGAAGCAGCAGCACAGTCTTTTTTTAAAAAAACACACAACTCTTGGGAATTCACAGCCACGCAACATCGCTTTATGCGTTGACTGACATGGCCTGTGTTGAGCCTTCAGGTTCCACTTCACAATTAACAACTGTTATTTCATCAGCCAGCACGTGGACTCAGTCGTGCGATGCCTATAAAAGTTTTCACGTTTATCACAACCAGTTTGTATTCTGCCGTAACTCAGGCCCCTTCGCCGGCTTCTCACGGCAGACTCAATTATTTAATTCGAGAGAAGTTCCTTGTGTGTGTTTCATTTGAGAAAGATGATACCACGGTCAGTTCGATTTTCCCAAACAAATTATCGTATAGTTGTATGATGAGGTTTTCACAGCGATGAGTATGAAGATTTCTGTCTTCTGGGTTGTTGCGCCGTGTAGTCTGGTCGATGTTAACCAACGTTTCAGAG